ATAGATTAAGAGAGAAGAAATAATTAAAGGGAAAATACATTAAGGTCATTCAATTCAATTCAATTCAATTTGACATTTATTTCTATATTGGTGAAAATTAAAGGAAAGCTGATAATTACAGAACAAGTATTTCAATCAAAGATAATCAAGAAATAATTGAAAAAAAATTAATGACCTAAACCAGGAGCAAACCAATATCGGGCGTTTTCAGAAGCCAAAAGGAGGCTTGTATTGAAATGCCCGTGGACAAAAAAAAAATTGCAATAAACTAGATACAAATCATGCATATTATTCACAGATAAGTCTTAATCCCCATCTGAAGAACATTCCAATAAGTTGTATTTTTGTTAGATACGAGTCTGACGTTTTGAGTATCCTTGCCAAGTTGCGTTAGAATACCACTGGAAATTATTTGGGACTTGAGACGTTATTTGAAACGAACTACTAAATGTGCATCCTTCCACGGACGGACTTCCAAGGGTCTCTGTCTTCCTTTAAAATTACATATTTATTCCAATTGTTTGCATGATCACTAACAAAAGTACGATCAAATTTCATCTCTTTCCTTTTAGACAATTTACACTAAACGTTCAATGAAAAAAAAAAAAAATTGGTGCAAAAAGCTAATAGACGCATTTATATAAACATTCCAAACTTTGTCTCCACAACATCTGATTTGTCGGCCGTTATGATAAGGTCCCCATGCGGATGTCCTGCTTTGTGCAAACGTTGGTAGTGAACATCCGCATCTGGAGACGGAGATAGATACAAAGAGTATGACAGGTATCAGTAGCACTCCCAGAATTTGGCTGGGGGGGGGGGGGGGGGGCTCTCACAAATTTTCTAGAAGTTTGAATGTTTCCAAAAAATGTTGCCCAAATTTTTGGCAGAAAAAGATTTTTTTTGGGGGGGGGGGGTCACTAAAAAACAATTGACCAACAAAAAACAAAAAACAGGGGGTTTCAAGCCCCCGAGCCCCCCCCCCCCGGGTGCGCCACTGAATAGGTATATCTTTTTCATTGGTTGCAGAAGCATCGATTTTATGCTTCGATTCAAGATATTTTGAACAAACATTTATAGGTATAATAATTATCATTTCAAACAAAAACATTGCTCATTAATTATAGCTAGCTCTCCAAAGTTTCAGGTTCATGAAAGATAAACATAAAAACATTCCTTGTCTGTAACAGCCATTCTTATATCAAGAGAAGGGCCATGAATTCGCCTTTATAATGGTGTAGATGAAGAAAATAACGAGACATTAAAGGGCATTGTAATGTATTTTGTTTAATGCAATACCTAAAAGTGCACCTGTGTGTCTCATTTAACCCTAGTTTCAATTTTCATTTTGCCATTTTCAAAGGTATTTTGGTGTCTTTTTTTGGTTGTTATGCTAATGCGAATTTCCATATTCATGACAAAATTGTGATGTCATTTCAAGCAGAAAGCTCAATGTTACAACTATTTCTGTACATGGGCGTCCCGAGGGGTGGGGAAAGGGGGGCGCTTGCCCCCCCCCCCCTCCGGAAAAGCAAAACAAAAAAAGAAGAAGAAGAAGAAAAAAAGAAAGAAAAAAAAAAGAAAAAGAGGCGCGAAGTCATAGTGGTGTAAATTTAATGAGTTGGGGGGGGGGGGGGGGGAATGTCCCTGCCCCCCTCTAAAACTGAGAAATGGAGAATATGTTGAAAAATACAGGTTTTTTGGGAGAAAATATGTTTTGCCCCCCTCTAGAAAAAATCCTGGCGACGCCCATGTTTCTGCACGAAAAATTGCCAGAGTTATTGGATACTTTGCTGTTGTAGATTTTCTTTTCTTAGGTGATTCGTTGTTGTGTCAGTGCATTGCATTAAGCCAATAAGCAAACTTTTCTCACGAATGTTTTCAATGAGCAAGTGGTTGGGTGCACAATTTTAACAGAAAACACATAAACTGAACTTTTAGTGTCTTCCTGAAAAAGCCCTCAGTTTTCCGAAAAAGCATGAAAAAAATAAATGTCTAAAGAAGTGCACTTTTCAATAAAATCAACCAAAAACAGGATAGCAGATATAGTTTTCACACATTTAAGAGTACTGGAAACTTGCACAAAATATGTTCCTCAGAAAATTTCATTGCATGACCAATTAAATTTGAGATACTAAAATAATAGCGCTGTTTGTACCTGCTAGTTGTTGGTTCGTTTGAGTTTCATAATCGAGTGACGGTCTCGATAATAGCACTTGTTCCTTTCGAAGTGGCAGCTGAGTTGATGACATCCGAGGGTCTGGCAATCTTCGTCTGTAAGACATTGCATGTCCTTGAACAAGCTGCACAGCTGATCCTGCATCTTCATCGCTTCCAATTCTTTTGGATCCATCCCGTGCACATGACCAACCTATTTGTCAAAATACAATCATGCTGTAAGATTTTGTTTTCGTGCAAGACTCCAAAATGGCTTCTTTTTTTTCTTTTTTCTTTTTTAAATTTTACAGGATCTCACGAATTTAGTTTTAGGGGCAATATTTCACATACATTCTCCTGACGACGGACAGAGCATACTGTTCGAAACGTTGAGTCCATCCGGTTCTTTTCAGAACCACACATACTCACAAAAGAGATTTATTCACAAGGTGCTGCCGCAAACTTATCTTGTCTTAACACACTGGTTTTCGCATGAAGAGGGACGAACATCAGTTGACATCATAGACAAGTGTTAGATAATCCGGTTGGGACAGATAAGATTTTTATAAAAGGACAATGACTCAAAGGTAGCTCTGGCAAATTTTGACTGGGTTGGGTCATAAATTGCAGTTTTTCAGAGGAGGGACTTTGACAAAATGTGGATATGAAGTTTGACCTTCGAGAGGGATGCAATTTTGATGGCTATTTTAAAGCCGTAGTATGTTAGATTATAAATATAGGCGCTAGGGTAGCTCATTTCTTTCATGTTGTGCTAATTTCAAACTCCATCTGAAAATTGTTAGGCTTTATTATGCAGAAAAAAAAACATCAGAGCACATTGCAAAAAACCCATAACGAGTATTACAATCGGTGGAAACAAGTAGAAATGTGCAACTGCTGTCTAGAGTAGCCAATAATGTCAAATTGTTTTAACAGGACTCCCAAGTAAACTGTTCGTAGCCAAAATAGTAAACGCATCAGTGGTGAGAAAACCCACCGTGCTGCCACTCTTAACACATTCACGGGCCTTAAGAAATTACGTCTTAAAATGTACAAGGTAAGCATGGGCATATTGTTTTGTCAATGAGGTTTGTAAACAGTTTTAAACACCAAACATAACTCTACTTCCAGATGCCATTAAGCCTTTGTCGGGAAATGACAATACAAAATATCGCAGATTAGACAATGTTATATTCAAACAGACTAGGTAGGTAATCTGAAACTCACCCAAAGAATGAAAAATATGACGAGGACAAGTCTCATGTCCATTGCTGAGCAGAGGCTGAGAAGTTAGAACCTCACTGAAATCCGTCCAAATCGAAGAACTTCTCCACAATTGTGCAAAAACCTTTGATATTTGTAATCTTGAAATGATAACTTATGCAGTCAAACAAATTTATCAAAAATGTGTCCAACTCGTCATCAACCTTGGCGGATATACCGTGCGGGTATAATGTATTTCTAAATAAAAACATCAATATATAGGCCTAAATAAGAAAGAAAAGAAAAACATTCGAAACTTATCGATTGATGTGCAGTATAGGCTAATTTTAAAATGTATTGTAAGCGTAACATTGAATAAACTGAATTCACAATCAGTTTGATACAGCTGCATCTGTTTGTCATTAAACTATTAATGATCGACTTACTGAGAAAAGGATGATGTGGCGGCTTCAAAAGGTGAAGGGTGAGGTGAAGGCGCCGTCTCGCTATAAACAATTATAGGCCTAACAAACATGAAAGAATACACATAAAAGGATTTCTTATATCCTCTGACTTGGTCACAGAAAGTGCCCAGTTTTTCATGAAGCGAACGACTTTTCATGGATATATTCTTTGAAAACATTTTAATCGCTCTTCGACCGATAAAACTTTACCGACCAATTTCCGATTAATCTTTATCATTAAAGAATTTTGACAGCAACAATTTTTTTTGACTGGCCCAGACTGGTTTTGAAGCGCCTACGACCATATCACGTTGAATACACCGGTTCTCGTCCGATCACGGTAAAGCAACCGCAATACCAGGTGTTTGTAGACTTATTTTGAATATTCATGACTCGTTCGTAAACATAAATCGCTGAGAACGGCCTTCCAAAAAAAGTGCTAATGATGCACAGAATATTTATTGAAGCCATAATTGTCCTAAAGTAGGTTCAAAATAAATATCTTTAGCATCTATACATCGAAAATTTTAAATGCATTGTCGTTATTTTTGCGAAATACAAAAAAAACCAAGGCCTCTTTTTGGGTCAAATTTACTGATCGTAATTTCCAAAATATAGGGTTTTTTGACTGCTTTCTTTTCCATATAAATCAAAACACGTTCAAAGTTGCCACTTTTATCACTTTAAGAGCAGATTTCGCACTTTTTTATGTTCACAGGGGTATGTGACAAAATCAAAAACTTACAGAAAAAATTAAATATGGGTGGAAAACATTCTTTAGGATGATTTCTTCCTCAAACAAGTGAAAAAAGTTGAAAATGTCACTTTCACTAATTTTGAATTTTGGCACACTTTGAGGCGATTCTGGCCGGACCACTGTGCGACGGTCTACCACCAACTGCTTGGACTTGCCAAGTTTGTTTTCAGCATTTTCATTTTTATTGACGTCACTTTTACCCCATAATTTCCCTAAAATATCAAAACCCTGCCTTCTTTCCACAATATTAATCCTGCAGTTATTCAAAATGGTGTTGTCGTCCTCTACTTAATTGAGAATAAAAAAGTTGGCTTCTAAATGGAACTTTTCATCAACGAATCAGCGAAGTTCTAGCAACCGGCTTGTACATTGTAAACACGTGAGGGCGCACTTTTAGAATTAGTCGAGATGTTCGCGAGTTGTGACAAGTGTCTGAGCTCACTAGTTGTCGTTGTTTTACCTCATAATTTCCCTCAAAAATCAAAACCCTGCCCTCTTTCTACAAAATTAATCCTGCAGATATAACAACATGGTGTCAATGTCATCTTCTTAGGTGAGTCCCAAAGTTTAAAAGTAGATTTTCGTTCAGAGTCATAGCACTTAAAAGCATGTTTACTTTTTAGCAGGCACGTAGGAACCGGGGGGGGGGGGGGGGGCCCGGGGGGGGGGCCCGGGGGGGGGGGGGGGGGTCGCAGGGCAGGGGCCACTGGCCCCCGCTGAAAATTATGGGGGAGGGGGGGGGGGGGGGTCGGGCCGCGCATTTTTTTTCTCCCAAACTTTTCTAAAACCATGAGAAGAAAATATAAAATTAGAAACAAAATATGAATTGGAACGTTTTGTCACTTTTGAAATTAGGACTTTATTTCCCTTTAAATCCTCCAAGTCCAGAACCTCAGGCTAGGAAAGAAAAACATTCAGGTGCTGTAACGGGATTACCGAATAGGGTTACAAACAGGGGATTCCGATGGTGTTGACAGGACATGAATGACAATACAGATTGACAACAGATATAAATATACATGTAGGCCTAGACGATAATCAGTAAACGTGTGATCAGCTCAAAGGAGCCATCTTGCCAACCAAGGCATGGCTTTTCCCATCATGCACTTGGTCAATGCCCCAAATGTATGGAGGGCACAACAGGACAACTATATGTATGTACAATACACTGCTACAGTGCAAAGCCGTGTTTCGAACCAGCAACCTCGTGGTTCAAAATCACGAACCTGTATCGACTGAGCTATCGCAGTGCTCGCCAAAATGTGGGAAAAAAATAATTATATACCTGCGTACGTATCATAAAAGTATTGTAGACGGCGCTAAATAACCATGTATGCAGATGTCGTTTGGGCCCCCCCTAAAATTGTGGTTTTTTTTAATTTTTTTTTTTTTTTTAATAGAAACCTTTCATAAATTGCGTTTTCGGAGGAATAGTATCGCAGTGCGTAGCCTTTATTCAATTAAACCACAGGGGAAGTGGAAATTCATTGCAAAAATGATAATAATACATGGATCTGGGACTTAGAAACATTTTCAATTTTGTTAGCAAATACTTGAAAAAAATGTTTCACTCTCCATAGATTTTATACACAATTGCGGAAATGGCATCAGGTTGCAACATTTTTTTTGAAAACTTGTCTTGTAAGGCCTATGCCTTTATGTCAAAAAGATAAAAAGTGTGATAAATACTATTTAAAAAGGTAATCATACAACATTTGCTTTTTCTGCAATTTTCAGAAATGAATGGATTTTGGGGTTAGCAGTTAATGGCAAATATTGTTACTCTGACCTGTTTTTTAAAATTTTTATTTATTTATTTTTGTTGTTGTTTTTTGTTTACAGGTACCGTGATTCATCAGACAATGAAGCCTGGGTACATGTATTGTGTATGTTTATCCTGGATGTCAACATTCCTGATTTACTGCACATCAGTAGCGATCCTACCCACAGTTGGAGCCACGCTCTGGCCAGGTGCCACCAACATCCACACTACCCCATCGGATCATTCCATTATTGTGCTGGATAATGTTATCACTGAGCCAGCTGCACATGCCCTCCACAGTTACGTGTTACAGTTTGCACAATGGAAACTGAATGGCCATGCGCAGGAGACAAGCACACTTATTAATAACCAAACTGCAGAACAAAGCTGTTTGCTGCAAAAAAAAGTCCCATGGAGTGCTCAGTTATCATCTCCATTTTATGAAAATGTGTGTTTTTTGAAGAATATTTTGAGTTTACCCGAACTGGTAAACTTCACTCCACACAGTGTGCAAGCAGAGATATTGAGACGAGGGGACTCCATAAAAGTCCAGTGTGGCTTGGACAAGCAAGGATTGGATACTGAATATTCATGGAGAGTTTTCCTGACCCCAGACTGGCAAATCAATGACTATGGAGATTTGATGTTCTATGACAGAAACGACAAAGGTGGGAAGCAGGAAGCAGTGTTGACTGTGCATCCAAGGATGGGTAGATTTGTCCTTTGGGATTCATCGTTGTCGTTTGTGTACCATCCTCCATCAATGGGCTACATACAGGGACTACTATCTATTACTGGTCAACTGACTTCAAGTAAGAACAAGATGAAATTTCAGGTACAAACTTGTCTATTTGATGTAGGCCCTACATGTATGTTGGGCGCATTCGTTGATTTGTGCGATTGTTCAATCGCACTGTGCCATTGGTCGATCGTTACAGATATCGCGGACTTTACTTACCTTTTAAAAAAAAAAAAACCTCCAGAACTGTGTTAGAAAGAAATTGTGTTCGACTGATGGCAGCGCGATTGACCGATTGCATCATGATTGACCAATAGCGCAGCGCCATCGACTGATCGTGCACATGGACCGATCGTGCACATGGACCGATCATGCCCAACATACACTGTACTTCTGACATTTTCGTAGATGTTTTATTTAACCCTCCCACGTTTGTTAGCAAACACCCATTCATGTAGGCCTACAATCTTTTGTTTTTCAGCAGGGTCGTTCATTTGAAGAAGGAAATGATTTTGAAATGTCCCACTCAGGAATACATATGTACATGTACGCCTTTGTTAAATTTTCTGTGTGTCTGCAGAGAGGCATGTGGGTGTCCATTTCAGACTTGAATATGAGTTGCCAAACATCGAGTCCGAGTCTGAGTTATTGTCATCGTGACTCGAGTCTGAGTCACGGAAAATGGGACTTGATGAGTCGAACTCGAGTCCAAGTCCAGGTTATGAGGCATACAAGTTCTGGTCCATTCATTTACATAATATTCAGAGGTTATTTTTCATCATGGCAATATCTCACAAAAGACTACGGTCAACTTGATGGGAAGATTGCTCCAGCAAACCCTCCAAGACATTTTGGTCACAGGCTTAGCCTACTAGGCCATCAGCCTCGGTCCGAAATTTTGGCCACTGGTATAAAATGAGGGGAATAATCGTCATAGTAATTTCTGGCAAGGTATACACCTCAAGAGTTGGAAAATATGTGATAGCATTGCAGCAGTGGCAGCTTTTTGGGTGTTATCACCCTTTTTTTCAAAATGTCCATCAAAATGCTTGTTACCACTCTAGGGGCAGTATACCTTGCGCATGCGCACTACAATCATTTATGCCCTGATTTGATACTGACCAAACCCCCAGGCTGATGGCCTACATGTATAGCCTAGGGCACTGAAATTATGACAAGCTCAAACTCTAATCATCAACAGAGTGTCTCCATTGTTGCAATGTGCATCTTTGTGAGTTTGTTGGCCTCGACTTCAAAATTTATGTTTTGTGATTTGTGCTCTGTGCTTTGTATATTGTCCCTTACAGTAATAATCACTTAGTCAAACTTGTGACAATTAAGGCTAGAATTGTTTTGGGGTTTTCCTTTTGTATATTTTTTTCAATGTAAATAGGTCTGATGACTTGTTGTATCAATATTTGTGATAGGATGAGATCACTGATGAACAGCAAACATCAAGGCCGCAATTCTCTTCTCAGTTCACTCGTACGGATGAAATGGAGGATTTGGCCGATAAATACGTCCGAAGTTTCTATGACAGTGAAGGAAGGTGATTATTAACTTTAAAAATGCCTGTTTATACTTTGTCAAATTTACTTAAAGTTGCGTGCCCTATGTTATTTTCTAGCTCCATGCCATGAAAATAATTCCTCTTTTAAACTGCTATTTATCTAGCAATAGAAAGGTTATTCAAAATTGAATTAGACATCTACTGACAAATCGGCCCATGTTTATATGGTTATTGGCAAATTTCAAATTACTTGTAGCCCAACAAAAAATACGCATACCCTCCCCCCTTCCCTTCCCCCTCCACTCAGCCACTGACTGATGTTATGAAACTAGTAAAAATGGGATAAAAAATAATAAATGGAATGCTAAAGTTTGTAAATTTATTCTTGAATTGCATTAGAATGCAGGAGAAATCATCATAGATTTCAACATTTCCTGGGGGGGGGGGGGGGGGGGGAACATGCCCAACCCCGAACCCCCACCCCACCCAGCAGCGCATGCATAGACTCCAACCCCCATCCACTATATATATCAACCCCTCGTTTCCTGAAAGCTAGATCCGCACCCGGTTTGAAATTTATTACGAGAAAAAAAATGAATTTGTTGAGCATTTTGAGTTCAACTTTAAACTACTGACTCATGCATGCAACTTTTCAATTGTTGAGTTCACTTAACTTTTGATCCATACATGTATGTGAAAGACAATTGGAACCTCGAAAGTCGTCGTCTTTGAAAGGAAACAGCAGTATACTTGTTTAAGATTTTTGCCTCAATGAAGGGCACCATGGCAGTTTGTTTTTACCTAGATAAAGAGCAACACGGGCAAAGTTATCCAAATTCAGAATGAATGACCCATACACAATTCTTATTTACTTATTTATGCCGTCCATGCAGGTAGGAGACCTCGTGACGGCTTCTGCATGGTGATGTTGTGCCAAAATGTCCTGTCCATAGCCAACCATGCTGCATCAATTATTCTTGGGATTGATCTTGATTTGCAGTCCTGTGAGATGCAGTCAAGCCATGGTTTTGGTTTGGCAGCCTCTTGGTGTATCCCCTTTGACATACAATTCATGGCTTAATAATGGCTGATTTTCCATGTTCCATTTGTATGGAGGGATTCATCTTTAATTGTCATCTCCTATTTCTGAGGACAAGCTTAGGTTGGTCAAACACAATCTTAATTACATCATGTAAGCCCCAAATTTGTGCACAAAAGTACTTTTTCCGCATCCCCGAAATGTTTCCGTTCTATTGTTGGTGCCATCTTTGCAATGTACATAACATTCACACTGTATGTACATTTTTTTTGTTGCAGAGTGATTGCTGTGTATGACAATATATTTTCGGCTGCTGATTTAGAAGAATTGCAGCAAGCTTTATTGGCCCAGGGAGAAATCATGTACCTGCCTCATGATGTGCAACCAGAAGAGGATGTCGATAATGCTCAATGGATTAAGAGTTTTGATGTAAGAATACATTTACATAAAAAGTCAAAGTCATTGGAGATTTTTAATTTTGTACCGTTAAAACCCTCCATTTGTTGGATCAGTCACACACCGTCAAAAATGTCAATCCTGTTCCCATGCCATGCCTTTTACACAGGCTAGTCACCAACAGTCGGATCATATTTCTGGTAGACACGGTCAAATTCCATCAACAGACAAAAGCAGGTAACAATCTCTTACGGTCAAATCATAGCTATATCAGGTTTTATAACAGTCACAGCCAGTCAATCCTACTTTATGAAGGCAGGGAGCCCTCAACTGTTAAAAACAGTCACTTGATTTATTTTGATTGCTGGGCTGACCTTGTTGAAATTGCCAGCCAGAGAGGAAGGGTTAATGTACATGAAAATATTTGATTCCATTTCTTCAGCTAAGGGAGAGTAGAGGGGACTGAAGAGACTAAAAAGGACAGCCTCCCCGCACCCATCCCCTTACCCCTCCCCCTCCCACTTTCCCCACCCCTTTCCCCACCTTCCCCCTCCCCAATCCAACCATATCCAACCTTCCTTGCCAATCCGTGCATACAGTATTTTATTAATTTATTTATTTTAAATACCAAAAACGTAAAATTCCGACCATGTGTTAAAGCCAGCGAAATTTTTTAAAGTTTTTGTTAAGTACATACAATTATGTCTGCAAACCTAATAGTTCTTCAGAATGTACGTATGTATTACTATATCCAGTGTTCTTGTTTGTCAATGAATTAGCCGTAAAATTTGCAAAATGCTAATCCTCATACCTCAACTTTTTCTGCGATACCCTTGCAAAAAAAATGTTTCCCGACCCGAGCTTTCCTGACTCTTTAGCCTCGAGTTTTGCGCATCTTTTGATTCCAAAGACATGAAATTCCAATCATGTGTTACCGCGCAGCAAAAACTTTTAAGGTTTTTTTTAAGTACATACAAATTTGTCTGCAAACCTAAAATTTCTTCAGAATGTACATGTATAGGGCTTGTTCAATGACGGCCATTTCTGTAGGAGAACTGCAACTGCATATTTTACGCAATCAAGCACGCATTGCACAGTGTTAAAATGTTCCAAACACGTGCGCTTGTTGCTCGAAATGTGTTCGAAATACGGCGCAGCCGATGCGCATTATGCAAGTTGATGCTTAAAATGCAGATGCACGTGGATGGTCTGTAGGAAATGTCGTCATTTGAACAAGACCTATTACTATCAAGTGTTCTTGTTTGTCATTGAATTAGCTGTCAAATTTGCAAAGTGCTAATCCTCTTATTAGGTAATGAAAATGAAAACAGTACAGTTTGACCTTGCTTGCTATACTTTATGCATTTCATTATTCCTTGTTGATCATTGAAGCCAGAGAAGTTTGCAACATCTGCAGTGTGGAGGAGACTGTCTCAAGTCATGAGGCACGTCAGTGGAAATAGAACATCATGGTACCCGTATGATGTTGCACTGAACATTGTACGATCTGCTGACCACACAAGAATACATCAAGACTGTGAGGAATGGGAGGTAAGACCAACGGTGATCACATTCAATAAGAAAGCTGCGGCTATATTTCATGAAACTTTCTGAAACAAACCCCATACATATTAGTCTGACTATCACCCTCTCTCTGTATCCAACGTCTGATATATCTGAGCGATGTAACTTTTATGCGACCCGGCGTGCCAGTCAAGTGGGGTCCACTTCATTTCGATCAGAAATGTGGATTAAGCTGTTGATTGGGTCAAGTCATGTTTTGTCATACAACAACGGGTTATGGAAGACCCGATAGAAGATGCCCGCTGAATGGTCAGAATCCCGAGGTCTAGACACAGTCTTGTTTTGCATAATTAATCACCGAGTCTGCTTGCATATAAAGTAAAGTCTGTCACGAGCCAATGTGGCCCATCAAGCTGGCGTTTATATCCGGTTTCAGTAGCATGAAACGACTAGGAATGTGTCTATTCCGTCGGGATAGGATGCTTGTCCATCACAGGTTACCCCCCTGCTAATGCCGGTACCCATTTATACTCCTGGGTGGAGAGAGACAAGTGGGGGTGAAGTGGCTTGCCTAAGGACACAAAATATGACCAGCAGCTGGATTCGAACCACTGACTCTCCTATCATGAGTCACGAACCTGTAGGCCACACTCCCCATTAGCCTATTCCATTAATGCATACTGCATAGACTGGTTTTTGTTCCTGTGCAATACGCATGCGTTGACTCTTTTTATTTAAACATATCCTGTCCTTAGTGATGATGCTCTATCTATACCAGAGGTCAACCTCCTCTTGCATAACGTTTTGTGCTTACACTGGAGCTCCAAGAGTTGAGCAGGAAATAATCATGAAATTAGATGGCATAATTAGTGAAATAACAATTTTGAGTACCCAATATTCACAACACTGGTAAATAAAGTGATGGAAATATCTGTCCAATATACTGTAATATGCATGGCTTCTTTCATCTAAAGTAATGCCATTGTCAAATGTTGTGTAAGGCAGCCTCCATGATCACTGTAAAATATATTGAGGCAGAGCCAGTGACATACTGGAGCAGTGCGGAGGATTTCAAGTATTATCTAGGCCAAAATTTATACATGACTGAGCATAAACAACACAAGGTCCGTCCCGGCTAAGACCTTGACACAGTGCATCCTCCAAAATCAGCCACACACTTTTGCCATATAGCCTCAATCCTGTAAAATCCTTCATTTTGCAAAGAGCATTTGGGAGGATTGGGAAAGTTAGGGTTAATATAAGCCATGTAACATATTTGATTAAGTTTTGTGTTTGAAAATTAACCATTGCAAAGTTAACAATGCCTATCAATTTCCACAGGACGAATACACCATGGTTTTGTACTTGAATCCTGACTGGCGACCAGAGTTCTGTGGAGAAACTGTGTTCTTTGAAGCCATGCCTGGTAGTGAGCTGCAAAGACAACTGTATGGACTTCATGGTGGAACAGAGTACCAGCCTATTGCATCTGTACTCCCTAAATACGGCAGGCTAGCAGTATTCCAAGGTGAGTACATGTACAACAATGTAGCTTGCTCGCATTGTAGGATTGTAATCAAAGAAAAAAAAAAAGTAACCAGCTTATCTTCACAACATGCAATTTATTCACTTATCTTTTTTTTGATATAAAGTGAAATCTTGATATAAAGTCAAACCTCAAGGGAACAGGCTCAAAATTTGACTTAAGCACAGTTTTGAGTTAAAGAGGTTGTGGAATGCTCGAAGACATTTCCGTCATTTATTGGGTATATGTAGCCTAAGGTGTGATGAAATAAAAACGACTATTGTTTCTGTCATGAAATGAGTACAAAGGTTACTTTTGAGAGGTATCTTTCAGGTCCTGTTTCGACCCGAACGAGCAATTTGTGTAAAAGTCGTCGTTGCGGGCAGCAAACAAAACACAGTAAATCGTGACGTAATAAACAGGACTCGTTTATGCTACTCTTATCGGGAGTCCTGTTTATTACGTCACGATTTACTGTTTTTTGTTTGCTGCCCGCAACGACGACTTTTACACAAATTGCACGTTCGGGTCGAAACAGGCATGACAGGACTTGAAAAACAGCTCTCGAAAGTACCTTTTGTACTCATTTTATGACAGAAAAAATAGTCGTTTTTATTTCATCACACCTTAGGCTACATATACCCGAAAAATGATGGAAATGTCTTCGAGCATTCCACAACCTCTTTAAGAACAGTTTTGAGTTAAGCAGAGTTGTGTATCATTGTTATACTACTGAAGGCATTTGATTATTTGTTTGACTTACCAGTAGTTTTGAGTTATCAGAGTTTGACTTATCGAGATTTCACTGTAATTCAATTTTGTTGTATTATGAAAACTACAGGGGCGGATCTAGCTTTCAGGAAGGGAGTGAGGGGGGTGAGTCTAAGGTGTGCCCTGCTAGAGGGGTCCGAAGGCATGCCCCCGGAAAATGTTGAAATCTACGATGATTTCTTCTGCATTCTAAGGCAATTCAAGAATAAATTTAGGAAGTTTAGCTTTCCATTTATTATTTGCAGCTCCATTTTACTAGTTTCATCATATTAGTCAGCGTCTGAAGGGAGGGGAGGGGGTTTGACCCCGCCCCCTAGATCCACTACTGAACTACCATTGGGAATGTATGGACATTAATTGTTATTTTCCCATTGGAATTTTCCTCATTTGGATATCAGAAGAGTTTTGTTGGAATTGTTTTCACTACGTATCCCCCAAATTGATGTTTTATGGTACTCCATTTTGAGACTTACCCATGCAATATGTATCACAAACATGACATATTATGAACGTGCACAAGTGTACGTATCACTTTGGGGGCCGTGAGAAGATCTTTTATGGGTTGATATCCGCCTGGAAATAGTCCTGACATTTCTTGGTTTATTTTTTTTTATTTGTCCAAAGTTACATGATTTTACGGAAAAGAATGAGAAATGTTGGGTGTGTTAACCTCTACATTGTGTTTGGGTGCCCACGCTTATCCCGTCCACGTTGTAAAAAGATTTTCTACAACTATCGCACATGATTTAATCATTGTAATACCTCATAAACTTTATAAATACTGACTTCACTTCATTCTCAACATAATCCTAACCTTCATTTCCCTAAGTAATGACCAGTGCTCGAGTTGCAATATGTCACTTAAAGATATAGTCCATCATTTGTAATTTGTGCATTTTGTTCGTTTGAAGCAACAAAAGTGCTCAAAATCTAATGAAGGATACTGAACAACTAACCTGATGAAGTTTCAGCTCAGCTTCAGCTGTATATTCTGAGAAAAACAGCATTCTAGGATCTCAATTTCAAATCAAAAGTTGCTGAATCATGTTTTGAATTGATTTGAATTGCAGCTATATGCGATGTCGCGCACTGATCCGACGAATTACAGCAACCGCGCGCACCTGTGCGTCGTGCCAATGCTTGCGCGCGCTGCGCTAAATAACAAAGGGAACTACTAATTTAAATTTTCCTACAGTGCTTCTTAAGACGCATTGCTGGAAAGGCCTTCTTTCGTTGATTACTTCAAAATGATAGCTTGCCGGAAAGAATAATTTCACAGGGAGTTTAGTCCACTTACTATCTTTCAACCAAGTATGTTTTTCAACAATAATACGCCAGTTACTTTTTCGGATGGCTGCAAATGATGGACTATAGCTTTAACGGCACAGGATTTTTGTTTTCTCATCTAGGTATCATTCCCCACTCGGCTAGACCTCCAAGTAATCTCTTTGCTGGTGCACGGTACACATTCGCAGTCAAGGTGTCCCTCACCAGAAGAATTGCTCTTGCCAAGCGACTTCAGGAGGTACTAAAATACAAATTTAAATTTTGAAACCTTAAGTCAAACTTCAGACTTTGGGGAAATTGCCTATTACTATTGAATCTGTGTAAGTAGTTGTTATAAATTTTTAAAAATTGAGATTTTTGGAGCTAAAGTCCTCTCTGACCCTCACAACCACCTTTTCTCGGTCTTATTTAGTTTTCTTTTTCATTATAAAATGTACCTCTCTCTCCCCCCCCCCCCCCCAAAAAAAAAAGATCAGAGAGTGAGACATCCAGCTGTACGTTTAATGTTCATTCAAAAAAGTTTTGTTTCTGGATTGATCTGCTTAAATTTTAGCTCAGTAGATACAAAGTACATGTGGCATAGCAGTTTGGAGTTCAGCCTCCCACCTGACAACCCCCCCCCCCCGCCACCAACAACCTGCCCCCCCCCCCCCCCCCCCCCCCATGCCACAAACAACACTTCCCCCCCCCCCTCCCAAAAAAAAATGATGGGAAGGGCAGCAACAAAAACAAAAGTCAGTATAAAATCAAGAATTACATGTAAATGTAAAGTTAAAAATTAGAGACTGCCGAAAGAAGCCCTTTATACGCACCAGGATTATTTTGACATTGACCGGACCCAGGCGCGGGATTGTTTTTCCACGAACCTCGATGCCAGACGGGTTCAGGCCGTCATCTGCATGTAGCACACCCTGATATTTCCGGCGCCGCTCACTGCGAGCGGGTCACAGACAGATATTTCCGGCCACGCTCGTTGCGTGTTTATCCGCCATCCGTTCCGAATACCGCAAAACCTTTGCGTGTATACACGTCATCCGACATAAACTGGGCTAAACATGGTGCCAAACAAGTTGGAGATATGTGTGGCCCCTTCTGTCAGATATTACAAGATGAATTGGCTTGTAGCACCTGCAAACAATAGTCTTCTTTTTCCTGTGATCATCAGATCATCGCTCTAATCTGATTTCTACTTTCTAATTGCAAATGTCCGATGACAAGGTTTTGGAAGACTGCTTTGAAGAACTGTCGATGGAGGAAGAACAACTGTTAGAGGATTTGATCTCGGGGGTTTACAATCACGAGCCATCCTTCAGATCAGATGAGTGGCTGGAGCAGAGACTACAAGATACTAAGAGCGAAGCTTCCAAGGTTAGAAATAATAAGAAACATCAGATGGAAAGCTCTTTACTCACATGTGAATGAAGGCATCAACATTAAATTGTACATAGACTTTTCTAATTTTTTTTACTCTTCAGAAGTAAGGAAGTGTTACAGGTAGAGTAGATCATTTGCAGCTATCCAAAAAGTAACTGACAAAATTATTTGTGAAAAGCATAACTTGGTTTAAAGATGGTAATGGCATGAACTACTATGAAATTAACATCCTAGTATATTGTTTTCTCGGAATATACAGCATTCACTGAGCTAAATCTTCATCAGGTTAGTTGTTAAGCACCCTTCTTTAGATTTTGAGCACTTTTGTTGCTTCACACGAAAAAAAATGCACAAATGATCTACACTGCCTTTAAACTATTAAACCCAATCATAGGTTAAATCGTCTATGCAGAAATAATTATGTAAAGACTGATACAGAAATTCCACCTGTTGAGCAATACATTTATAATTTGATATATACATTGGACTGTTTTTTATAGTACATTATACTATTATGTTATGATTTTCTGATTGGGTGAAATGGCTGATTCCTGATTCACCATTTCTTTGTTAGGCAAAAAAAAAAAGAGTCTCCGGTTTCTAGTATGCGCGCGCGTCGCTGTAGCCATGCGCATTGGCAAAAAGAAAAAGGTTTTTTTTCAATGTAAGATGATGTCTCAAAACTGCCAAACTCACTGGTTTGACTGGAACCCTGCTGCTGCACAATTTTAATGTGTTTTTAGATGGGGTTACTATCGAGCATAAGCTTTATGTGGCCTCTCTGGACTCCCATATATTTTGCACTAAATTTAGTCGGGCACCATTGCAGTCATCAGCCGACATTTGAAGGGAAAAAACCGTAAAAAAAACCTCAAAAAAGCCGCGTCGCCGCACCACTTTTGGGGCAAGCTCCATACCAGACATCAGAGACTTTTTTTTTTGACCTTAGTTTTTTTGTGGCAACTTTTCTTTTTGAAGAATGCGGTGCCTAATCACCCTGCGTGTGTAACTCAACCCATTTACTACCAGCTCGAGTTCAAAGTTTGTATTAGTAGTATATTTTTATTATCATTGAGCTGGACACAGACCGAAATTGATATTTTAGAAGACCAAAATGCAGTTTAGAGTGTAGTTGGTGATTGTTCTCTTTCAAAAATAGTTTGCAAATTATTATTTTGTATGCAATGGGAAAATCCCTTTTTTTTTCAGAGGAGCACAGATATTTACTCTAACTCATCCACAGAACAAACAAAACAAACACTTTCTAATTACCCAAAATAAAACAGGTGCAAGTATCGCATCAAAGCACTCTCGGTGAAGTCTCAATACACATATTTATTGAAAGCACTCTTTGGGTTTTAATTCACTGTGAAAATTCACAAAAATTCCTTTATCTACGTATGTGTAGATCTAATATTTCAAACCAACTTAAGCTCAATTTTAAAATTTACCTTCAGTAACAACAAAAGTTGGTCCATAATTCAATGTACACAGAATATTCACCTAAATTTGAATCGACAGAGTCTGCTATTGTCCTTTACATTAGTTTATGAAGACAAACAAAACTTTTTCACACACAAAACTTCCTTGATATAGAAGTTGATATTATAATGAGGTGCTGTTTGAGAACACTTTCAATCAATATCCAGTTTAATCATATTTTAAGGACAGTCACACCTAACTTTAAAACACCTGAGTTAGTGAAATGAATTTGGACTTGTTTATTCCTGAAAACTGTCTTATAATAATTGTTTTCATCCTCATACCCAGTGGCCAACAGAATAAAAAAAACTTAAAAGACCTATTCGAACCTTTGAGAACTGAAAAAAAAAGAATAAATGTGTGAATTTATTCCATAGATATATTTGATTAAAGAATCAAGCAACATTATATAGTTTTAACCCTTATCATGCTGCCACCATTTCAATCATGTTCCCTGTATCCAATAACAGTACTGAATAATAATGTTTTTTGTGCAAAAAGGAACCAGACTTTTTCTCCTTCCAGCCTCGCTTTGGTTGCATTGATTTGAATGGGAAAAAGTAAAGATGGCCGCAACATGATAATGGTCTATAAGTAATAAACAGGCTCAGAAGATTAAACTGGCGTGTTTATTATTGAAGCTTGACAAATTGTCATTTTCAGATTTTGATCACTTCATTCCCATACTTTGCCGGCCATATGTTATCATAGTCCACTTTTAAACAATGAAATGATTCTGCTCAAATTAGAAACCTTCATTTCACACACAAAATTTCACTCAAAAAAGTTTGCAAAGAGCGTAGGCCAGCTTACGCATCACAAAATATGACTCATGTCTCTATATAAGTATTTTTTGAGAACCTGAAACTCTATAAGGCAACTAAACATGCAGATTGCAACTAGAACTAAAACACTTCCCAAATTCTGCAATGTATCGATATATGTTTGTTTGTTTTTTCTTTTTTTTAGCAGGGGGAGTTTCAAGTTCTCGGTTAATACAATGTTGGTAAAACATTTTTAAAAAACGGGATCATAACGGTTTAGAAACAGTTAAGGCAGTCTGACTGATATATTAAAAATGGCTACCCAGAGGAAATTAATACATGTACAAAATTTGTGAGTTATTTTACAGTACTCTGTAAAAATATAGAATATATTGCAAAAGCAACAGATCTTGCAAGAGGTATTTGAATAATTTTAGTTGTCTGCACAAAAATATTGTAAAAATGCACATTTATTGCAAGGGGTATAGCTCTCGTTCAAATGACGTCATTCGTACAGACCATCCACGTGCATCGGCATTTTGAGCGTCAACTTGTATAACGCTCATCGGCTGCGTCGTATTTCAAACACATTTCGAGCAACAAGCATGCGTGTTTGGAACATTTTCAACACTGCGCAATGCGCGCTTGATTGCGTAAAATACGCAGTTGCAGTTCTCCTACAGAGAAGGCCGTCATTGAGGGAGCCCTATTCAAACAATCAAACTTCAAAACAATCCAAAGGTCTGTGCATCTGTTACTCAACTGAATTGGATGTATTAGACCGGCTGTTAACAAGGCCATAAAACACTGAGGTAGGATCTTCTAGGAGTTGCACTGGACTGGCAAGCTCAGCCACCCGGCCTGCACTCATGACCAGCACCCGGTCACTATCCATAATGGTGTCCAGTCGGTGAGCGATGGTCAGTACGGTGCTGGATGCAAACTCCTGCCGGATGGTCTGCTGGAGGAGGCGATCCGTTGCCATGTCAACGCTGGCCGTGGCTTCATCAATACACAGGACCTAGAGCGGATAGACAGGATAATGAGATATGAGCTCCGTGCACTACCAAAAGAGGGCGTCCTTTTACCTAACAACGACGTCCCATGGGCGGGACATTTCGCTGGTTGACGCGCACCGTTCCTTGTGTGTGACGCGCGTACACCAGGGGATTTGTTCTATTTACACGCAGTGGCCGGGCTTTGCGGCAAATGAATTGCAGTCAGGCAAGATGGCGTCGGTCGGTCACCCCCAACTGTACTTCCTTTGCCAGCGAGGGGGTGCTTGTGAACGGAGCGGATAATGGTTGATTACAAGATAATGGGTAAAAGGGATTTATATTTTTACAATTATTGAAACGCAGTTTCAGAAATGGGTACCTATAGCTTTGGGTATGTCTACCATCAGCATTCATGTGCTCACGTGGTTTTAACTGTCGAAGATGTTGATAATAGTTCTAGACAAAAGATCATGCTGCTAGTGATACAATCATTCAGTGCAACATATATAATGACTTTTTGGGGGTCCAGGTGGAGGAAATGTATGCAAAATATGAATTTGACTCTAGAAACAGTTCAAAAGCAAGCTGTGTCTGCCATTTCTCCTTACATTACACATGTATTTGTCTGCGTATAACTCTCAAATCTGTTACGTGAAACAATAGCATGAAATCCTTTGAAAATCGCACCTGGCACATGCAATAAATCAATGGCGAATTCTTTGTTCTTGATCGGGACATCAAGCAACATCTTAAGGAAAACATTGCTGAGGGGTTTTGGATTTGAGTCCATTCAACCAATTCAACCAAAGCACTTCCCTTCTTTCCATGATAACTCACCTTAGCACCAGTGAGCAGGGCTCTCCCTAAGCAAACCAGTTGTCTCTGACCGACGGAAAACTTGCGACCTTTCTCCCCGGCTTGAGCCTCTAGACCTCCCAGGCTCTGCACCACAGACTTCAGGTGACATTTCTCAAGTACCGACCAGAGATCCGAGTCGGAGAATCGTCCCGTTGGGTCCAGGTTTTCTCTGATTGAGCCGATGAAGAGGAAGGGATCTTGAGGGATGATGGCAAGCTTGGATCTGACATTGGGGAAAGCCAGAAAAAAAACAATTTTAAATACTGACTTCAAGACTGTACAGGGCGAGTCAAAAAAACCGAAACCCAAATGTCGGGACTATTGTTTTAGTGAAGTTCTGCGTGTAGCACTTTCAAAATCTAGGATATGAAAGCCCAATTCATGAACTTTGTTGTAGTACAAGAATCATTCAAATCACTCATGTATTTGTCAAGTTACAGAATTTTTAACACAACCACCGTTTTAAGGTTCTGTCCACGGATCACAAAAAAGTTCAGTGTTCTTTCAGCAAAACGAAAACAAATCACATAGGGATGTGTGTGAATTGTTTTCGTTTTGCTGAAAGAACGCACACCTTTTTTGTGATCTGTGGACAGAACTTTAAAACGGTGGTTGTATTTAAAATTCCGTAACTTGAAAAGTACATGAGTGATTTGAATGATTCTTGTACTAAACGAAAGCTTTTAATATGGATTGGGCTTTCATATCCTAGATTTTCAAAGTGCTACATGAAGAACTTCAGTAAAACAATAGTCCCGACATTTGGGTTTTTTTTTTTTTTACTCGCCCTGTAGTTACAACAAATGTTGTTGTACTTCACCAGCAAGAGTCCAGCAGTCTCCTTATGATGAACAGAGCATACTGTTCGAAACGTCAAGTTAAACCAACTGGTTCTCATAACCACACAACTCACAAACAGATATAATTCACATTGTGTTACAACAAACTTCCAATTCATTGAACAAATGTTTACTTGGCATGTTACGAACAACTGCACAGCACGAACATGTAATGGGGCCCATTATATATAACAAGGCTTCGCCCTTCCCTCACCCTCTTCCCTTCATTCGTGGACCCCCTACTGTCCCTCTTTTGTTTATGCGTAAATATTTAGGAAGACCTCCCATATGTTTAGTACACACACCTCAAAAGTGGACCTTCAGTCGTGGACCCTCTCGTCTTTTGCTCAAGGTCCAGGATTTGAGCGCGCGTACATGTATACACATACATACACTTCTTGCGCTTTATTTTACAGTGGTGATAGTTGTGGTGAGCGAAGCTAACTCCATCACTTAGTTAATGTGAGTGCTTCATTAACTTTTGTTTAGATATTTAAACAATGCAGAGTCTTGCATCCAAATTATCCCTTGCATGTATTACCTGAGTTCCTCCAGTGATAAGTCTGCCGTATCTACTCCATCAATAGCCACCCGACCACCTTGTATTTCCACCATGCGAAACAGCACCTGTAACAGTGATGACTTCCCGGACCCTGTCCTTCCCACAATGCCAAGTTTCTCTGAAGGATGAAGGTCAAAGGTCACTCCATCCAGTGCTTTCGGGAGGTTCGGTCGATAGGCAAAGGTGACATTCTCAAAAGACACCTTGCCATACTGGGGCCAGGAAGGTGGTGCCTGCACAAACAAGAAGGGGTTATACTATCGTAAGCATTAGATGAATTTGGCTTCTCAAACTTGTAGCAGACTTTTGACTGGAAATGTAGTCCTTTGATTTGTCCCCCGCAATAATATTAAAATGTAGATTTAAAAACCATCCACAAATTGAGAAATACTTTTAATGTGATTTAACTGTTTGGTGGAGTTCACGTCTACCCTGTGTTGTTATATAGGATTTCTGCTGTTATTTTGTGGTCCTCATGAAGAATTCATACTGTTTTCAGCGAACTAGGACCTAAGTTGCGAAAAGTTTTGGTACATAGGCACAGGGATGTAGGCCTAGTCCATCACAAGTCCAGTCACAAGTGAATTACAAGTCCAGTCACAAGAAACAGTGGATGTACAATAACAAAGGAATGCCTTTGTCAAAGCTCATTTGAATAGCTTGTCACTTGAATTGGGACTTGCAAGGACTTGTGATGGACTCGACTACATGTACAACCCTGCATAGGCCGATCTGTTAAAGCCAGAGTCCATCATTTGCAGTTATCCAAAAAGTAACTGGCATATTTACTGTTGAAAAACATACTTGGTTGAAAGATAGTACGGGGACTAAACTCCCTGTGAAAATGTTCTTTCTGGCAAGCTGTCATTTTGAAGAAATCATCAAAAGAAGGCCTTTCCAACGGTGCTTCTTAAGATCACTGTAGGAAATTCAAATTAGTAGTTCGTTTTGTTATTCGGCGAAGCATGCGCAGGTATTGGCACGATACACACGCGCGCGCAGTTGCTATAATTCCTTGGATCAGTGCGAGACATCGCGTAGTTGCAATCGGCTCAGTGAGAACGTGTCTTGGACGCTGAATTCAAGCCCAATTCAAAACATGATTCAGCAACTTTTCGAGATCCTAGAATGTTGTTTTTCTTGAAATATACAGCTAAAGCTGAGCTGAAACTTCATCAAGTTAGTTGTTCAGCACCCTTCTTTAGTTCTTGAGTACTTTTGTTGCTTTAAACGAACAAAATGCACAAATTACAAATGATGGACTGTACCTTTAATGCAACAATACATACATATGTCATAGTATCCTGAACAGAATATACCTTGCACATTCCATGCTGCTGCTCCATGGGTAGGTCCGTGATATACTGCTGAGCTCTTTCCATACTGACCATGTTCTTCTCCACCTCGGTGAAGGACTTCACGATGGATTGAAGCAAGTGGCTGATGGACAGAGTGTAGGAGATGGCCAACCCAACCAAAGCTGTGCAGAAATTGGTTTAACACAAAGTTGAGCAAACTCACTCACATACTATAGTTCAGTTTAGTTCCATCAGAGCACAAGCAAGTTGGACTCTTCTCCAGGATTACTGGGGTCGATGGAAATTCTGCGTGCATCACAATTATGTACATCATGGAGCCATGAAAGTCTCAGGCATGCAACTTTTCCTCAGATCAGCTGATTTCCTCATTTTTCACTTCACACTTTAATATGCCATTAAACATTGAAAATCACTGTACAGAGTCTTGTACAGATTGAGGTTTCCTCGTTTTTTTGTTTCTTCCAAATGGCATGCCTGAAGTTTGTGATGATGTACATGTATGACTGTAGGTCAATGAGGGATCAGTATCACAGAGGTACATGGTACATCACGAATCAACAACTGGTCAACCAATGATACTTCATCAAACTTGATAAATAATATCAGCGTCCATACAATTTGCTGACCATGTGGTTCATCTTTTCTTACCCATTCATGCACATCGGATGTCAACAGATATGTTCAGAGTCGTATTTGCAAAGTTTTTTCCTCACCGAAAAAAGCCACATCAAGGAAACAGCAGCTCTGAAAACAGTTCGGTTTGTTTGACAGTCTTCCAATGAGAATTCTGTAAGTTTAGTTTATACCTGGATTGGCAGTGTGATATTGGTGCTCGACGACAGCTATGACAGCTACGGCTGTGATGATCCCAACACCCAGCAACTCAAGGCAGACGGACAGCCAGCACATCACAACAAAGTTGCAGAAACGCACCCTCTGATTGTTTTCCAGCTTGGTGTCATTCGCCAATCGAAACCTGAAGCAAAGAGCGCCGTAACGAAAACACACTTAAAAAAAGATAGACATCCAGCAGGACTCAAGAGTTGTAGTAAAATCCTCTTACATCCTCACAAATCAACAATAATTCACAATCACATCATTAAAATTTAAAACAAGTGAAAATCTATTGAAACGAACAGTGACAAATGTATTTCTTCATCATTGCTTATCCTATGTTCCTTGTGCAGTCGTTTACCTAGTTCCGGATTTTTCCTAGTTCCGGATAGCTTCAAATAAAAACCTACCTCTTTTGGATTAGTCTCCAATATTTTTTTCTGACGAAGTACATTTTGAAAAGGAAAATGTAAGCTTCTTGATATACGAAGATTTTTTCAATAAAATCTTTAGAAGAGGAATTTCGGCCAGATTTCCGACTCGCACTTTGACTTGTTTGGACGGTTTGTAGAAAATCGCGGGAGCTGCGAATCAACAAAACAATTTCTCCTCGGTACATCACTCGAACCGTGTGATTTTGAATATTTTGTTTATACACTACAGTCGTATAAACTCTTCCATCGAATGTTTGTTGAATCCAAATAAGTTGTAGAGTCTCTAATTTTTGAAAATTCGCCAATGATTGACCGTATGCATTTGACTAGTTCCGGATAGCGCGTGTACTTATTCGTCCTAATACGACCCAACTACACGCGCATTAATCGATTTTGTGTGACATATTCTGTGTGTGCTGTGTCAAATGTTTTCGGTCCGTGCGTGAGTTCGTGCCGTTGCGCTGAAGACAAACGTTTCAAAATCATTTACGTTTTTCTCTTTGTTAAATTTGGCGGAATTCTCTTGAATGAACTATTTTGGGAAAATGAAATAATACTTTATTAGAAAATATGCTTGATTCGGTAAGTTCTGGCTGAAAAAACAATAGATTTTCTCGCGTGATTCTTTTTTTGCGCGAAGCAGTTTTTGATTGATTCGGAACTGATTGAACCCGATCCGGAACGAGACAAAGTGACATCGGCACTTTTGACGTCGTAAAGTCAAAATAAAAAGAGCCTAAATTTGGAAAATTATTATGTAGTATCTCCATGACTCAAGGTAAACTATTGAACCAATGTCACTTGAATTCGTGGAGTAATTGAGCTGAAAGCAGCCTGAATGATGTTTGCTATCCGGAACTAGGAAAACGACTGTGACCTTACTTGTGATAAACTAGTTGTAATGGACTAGACTACAAGTGTGGTACAGGAGTGCTGCAGGCAAGCTAACACAGTTTCCACCAGTCAAAGAGACCTCCAAAGAAAAGCATTCTAACCTTTCAGTGGCTCTCAGTGCCCTGATAATTGGCAGACCGCCCAGAGTTTCTGAGAAGTGGGCGTAGATTGGAGACATGGTCACACTCCCAATCCTCTTCAATTCACGAGCTGTCTTCCTGTAGTAGTTCTGATAAAAACAAAGAAGAAATGTCACAAGTTGTTTTATCGGCTTCCCCATCCATTATGGTGTTTTCCATATTCCAAATCCCAAATTTGTTCTCCCAGTTCATTGGCCGGATCTATTTGTAGCTCTGGGGACTTGTACATTCTGCGGATGTGATGGTTTAGTAGGGCTCGGTCAAAGCTTTATGTACAATGTACATTAGTGGGCAGAATGTTATAGTTCCAAGAAATGTTGAGTTGAATTTTGCTCATTCATAAAAAAATATATAGATACATATACATGTGTCAGTATATAAAAACCCCATAGCCTATAGGAAGCAATCTTATTGAAATGTTAATAGAAGGACTTAATCTTCGCCTAAGAGGAAGATATATGCTGAGTAACACCTTCATCTTTTCAGATTGATGCATTAATAACAATAATAATAAAGAACATTTGTAAAACCTCGGTATCCGCCTAAAAAAGGCGCTCATGGCGCTTGAGGAGAAAGTCAAGCTGGGATTGTGTGTTGTGAGAGTAAGCTTGTTTGTACAGGTGAGATTTTATGTTTGTCTTAAATGTTGTGATGGATGGAGATGATTTGATAGCCAGAGGGAGTTGGTTCCACACTCGGGCTGACGCTGCAGTAAAGGATCTGTCACCCCAAAGAGTGGAGGTCCTGGGCTCATGAAGCATCATGAGCTCACTGGAGCGGAGTCCGGTGCGTGCTGCTGAGTACGGGTGGATGAGCTCGATGAGATACTCCGGCGCATTGTTGTGGAGGATTTTGTACACGAATAGTCCAAGTTTGTATTTGATTCTTTCTGATACTGGAAGCCAGTGGAGATCTGCTAATACAGGAGTGATGTGAGAATGTTTACTAGTGAGAGAGATTAGTCTGGCACTGATGTTTTGTAGTCGCTGCAAACATTTAGTTGATTTAGGTTAATGACATACAAGAGTGAATTGCCCATGTCAATTTTGGATGTGATGAAAGTGTGAACAAGTATTTCATTATGCAAGGTTTCTAACCGCACTCTCACCAGAACTCTCAACCCCATCAGTGAGCTTCAGCTCCAAATCAAAGATTTGTGATTTATCATAAAAGATGAAATCTGGACCAAAAAAGCTGTAATGAAGGACAAGAAGATAACAGCAGATGGAATGTCTTAAGGTACCTGGATGCAGATGTAGAGTACGAACATGGGGAGCAGCACAATGGAAAACCAGGGCAGTCCGTAACAGACCAAGACGAAGGATCCCACTGTGCTGAAGAGATCAGGCAGGAAGCCATTCAGGATACCTGGGAGGTCATTGTCGATGGCGTAAACATCTGAGGAGAAACGATTGATGATGCGGCCGACGGGGGTCTTATCAAAGAAGGAGACCGGGGCCTGCAATGAAAGCATCACAGAAGAATTAAGGTTACAACTTACTTATGTCAATGGTTTTTCCATTAAATATTATGAGACTTCGAAAAAAGCCCGCATATCTTGAGTTAGGATTGGTATGACCGAATCTGGTGTCAATGTGACTGTCAATTGAAGGACACTTCCAAGACTAAGCATCTCATCAAGTATCTCCTGATCATTAAAATAATATTTTTATTACAAGCAGTTTGACTTATTGAGTAAATCCTCAATTCTTAAGTTTGGCATCATCAGCTGTTTTTTCTTCTTTTTCTTACTATTACATGTGTCTTAACTTGCAAAACCTTCTTTGAATTTGTGTTATTATTTCCTTCAAATGTAATCCATGATAGGAAAATGTAAGGCACTCTCAAAATGAGTTTTTGATTGAAAAAGGGATATTTGACTTAAGGAAGAATCAAAAGGTTTGTTTTGTTTTTGGATACCTTAAAAATGCTGGCCAAGAGTTTCTTGTGAACCTTCTTGGCAGCACGCAGGCCGCCGTAAGCAAACAAGAATGCTCTGAGCAATGTGAGGACACTGTTTGCTCCTACTATGCCACTATAGATGCCGAGGTAGAATGTAAGGTTGTCACTGCTAGTAACATTCATCCTACTGTAGGGAACTTCCACAGCAATGTTCTGGTCCCTTTTTAAGAAAGTAAAAGAAATACAGGTATATGTTAAGGTTGGACCATAGTTTATAAACAGATTGAACAATGGAAAACAATAATCTCATTAGAGCACATTGTTTATCCCTTTTGAGTGCTGTTATACTTGTTAGAATCTTGAATTTAAACGTCACCCCTGCATGCAGGCGTTAAACCACTTGCAACAAAAGATCACCCGAGGAAAGGGGAAAGGAGAGGTCGTTAGAGAGACAAGTTTCTGCACCACTTTGGCACCTCCCTCCCCCCCCCCCAAAAAATCTTTTTAAATCACGTTTTTTCCTTAAAAATATACTTTTGGGGGATATTAGGGGGATACATTAGCTTAACCTCGGTCAGGTTTATCCAAATTGGAAATCATCCTGAAACAAGTTTTTATTTCAGACCCTTTGGAATCTTCCCCATTCCCCCACCCCGCAAAAAAAGTGCCAGAACTGTGTCTGCCTAAATGAGGATCATCAATCCCATTGAATTGATATGACTACATGTATTACCTATCATTTCCTTCCTGCAGATCATCCCCAGCGCTAGAGTTTGAACTGATGGTACCATAGCTGTGGGAGTGACTAATCCAGTATGACAGCCACCAGTCAGACATATTCCTAGAAACTGGGGGTCAAGGAATGAATTCAAATATGTCATAATTTTAAATTATGTCAAATTCATGAATGCCAGTAGAATTGTAAAACAGACATTTTGCTTGCCTTGGGAACATTGATTTTGCGCAAAGGGAGTTGTCACGAGTGCCTAGCTAGGTGACAGTCCTGCGGTTTTAACATCATGGTCCCCTGACAGTTTTTTTAGGAAACCACAACACGATGCTATATTCTGAATCAGATATCCATTGGCCATTTAAGTGCCATTACTAAAAAAAAATCTTTGGAAAAGGCCATTAATTAACTTAGATCAAGACTGAGACAAATTTACAATTTGGAAGTCTTAATTGGTCTCAGCATATGAAACTGGGACTTGATCAAAACTTATAGACCTTTGTATATGAAATTTATTGAAACGTTAAGCATTTTTTGATCTGAAGTCTGTATTTTTAATGATGACATTTGATGATGACATTGCCAGAAAGTGCATCGATCACCTTAGTACACCGTTACGGCTCTTTGACTCACCCTGCATCAGGAACATAGCAATCAGAACACTGGATGCCAGGAGGCAGCCCACAGCATTCCAGTATGTCTTGTAGACCTTCAGCTTGACCACACCTGAATCTTGCTCCTCCTCCTCCACTAGTTTGCCATCCTCCTCTCCCGTCTTTTTCTCCTCCAACCACTCCTCCTCGGGATGAGCCCTAGTGTCATCTTCGCCTGAATTGTTGTTTTCGGGATCGTTGTACTGAAACGAAGTCAGCAGCTGTTTGTCTTCCAGAATATCCGAAGGATGTCCTATTGGAAGGTATAACACGAGACAATGTAAAATATGGCATATTTCATGTACCGATATGTCAATTTAAAAGTGTATTTTGGTATTTTTTTAGTTTAGAGGGTACATTTTAAGGAGGCTATTGTTAAAGCAGATAATAATTAAATTTTCCTGACTTGTTTCTACTCTTCCAGACATGGCCAAAAAAATATTTGCATTTGATAGAAAATAAGCTACACAGTCATTGTAAAAGAATTCTGCTACAGTTATACAGATGGCTTCACACACCACCTATAATTGGAAAGCCCATTGTTTAACTATCTGAAATTTAGAGTGAACGTGAATAACATTTTATTTTATTAAAAGAAAAGTTGTGGACTGTGAATATGCAAAAGGAAAAAATATGTAATGCTTTTGCTAAGTGGTCACGTGATGAATTGCAAGCAAAATATTGCAAAACGTTCATCAAGTCCTACCCAAATATGTATGTGAATTGCAATATGTTTGTAATTTGCAACATGAAATTTGTACTTGCCAACTTTGGTAATTTCTGCTTGATCCATCACTACAATCAGGTCGGCCCCATGCAGGTACTTGGTGTGATGGGTGCAAAGGATTCTGGTCTTGTTTCTCAGCAATCCCATGATGCACTTGGAAAAGATGTGCGCCCCTACGTGTGCATCTACTGCAGCCATTGGATCATCCAGCAGATACAGGTCTTTATCCTTTAAATCACCAAATGAGAAATTTGCTGATTTGATTGACAACTTCACAGCCTGCTTCATGTTTTCTCTAAAGCATCGATCCTCACGATGGTTCGAACCAAACCATCGTGGGGAATTATGGTAATCATGTTTCGGCAGTTTTGTTTCTGAATGTTTGGAAATGGTGTCAATTACCTTAAACTGCTGGCAAATTTAACTGCATAAAGTTAACTGTTAGCCAATTAATCACACACACAAGCTTAGGTGCTTCCTTCCTTTCAAAAAGCCCAAACTTTTACGATGAGAAGAACAATGCACTGCAGGTTGGAGTGTGCTCCAAAAACAATTAACACGTAAACTTGACCCGCTGTGCCAAAACAATAAACAGTGCTGGTGTGCAGGTCAAAAAGGGGAAAACTGGCAACTAGTACATAACACCCCTCGATGTATCGTCAAGGAGTTCCAGTCTCGGCAAGTTTGCGGGAAAATTGCGGGGTATATGACTGTGCCCTGCAGTGGGGCACAAGAAACTGTGAACTGCGACCTCTAGTGCTGGATGTAGCTGCAGTGATCGAGGAAGGAACTCCAGTCTATGTTGACCAAGTTAAAATTGATCCTATACAGCAGCGCCAGATGTCGTTGAAGACAGTGTTTATTGTTTACATCTCTCAAACAGTGACAAGCTATTATCTTGTTGAATGCATGTCTGTCATCTTGACTTTTCAATGCTCATACCATCCTAACTTAGACAATCTCCTAAAATTGCCTACTGACCTGGTAAACAGCTCTGGCCAGGGTCACCCTTGTCTTCTGTCCCCCGCTAAGTGTCACTCCATTCTCACCAATCTCAGTCTTATCGCCTGCCGGTAGTGCCTAGAGAGGAGAACAACAGTTATGAATATCACCATGTACACATTGAATATACATATGCGAACACATACTATAAATGGAATTATAAATTTAATTTTGCATGTTACATTGTGCAATTAGGTGAATAAAATATGTACAAGAACTGTAGATGACACTTAATTGCTCCATGGTGCACATGGCCAAGTAATGAAGGCCTAAAAATAATCTGTAGTGTCTTCCGAAGTTCCCTGATGAAAAGACTGTGTCTGAAGTGAATTCAAATGACAGCACTGAACAGAGGGAATTAATGGTACAACAAATTGTCTGTCAATATTTTCACTTTCAGGGAGTGTAGTAAATGAGGATTTAACTTAGAGATTAAGTATTACTTCAAAATAGACCAGGTGAATCTTTGATGCAGATTTCAGTTTTAATTTTTACTTACTTTAATATCTTCCAGGAGAGCGCATGCCTCAACGACCGTCCGGTACCTCTTGGCATCGTACTCTTTGCCAAACAGGATGTTATCCCGCAGTGTAGCATGCTGCACCCAGGCCTCCTGGGCTGAAAGGCCAAAGCCACCCACGAGATCCGTCACGCTGATGGACCCACCAGTCTTGGTCATCTCGGCGGTGATGGCAGACAGGAGGGAGCTCTTTCCAGATCCAACACAGCCTATGACACCTACTAACTGGCCCTGTGGATCAAACAATGTACAGTAGGCACATAACTAGTCTTATATTCAGAGATCTACATTCATCATACCTCCAGTTTTTCTTCAGATCTGCATTTATGGATCAAGGGTTAATTGTCTTAGCTTGCTGCGAGAATCTTTGCAGTTTTAAACCCAAAACCTGACCTCATCAGTGAGGAAAAAGAAGGCCTGATCTCAAAGAGCTTGAAATTCATTGGTCTCTATGTTAAGAGCTTTGAATGCTCGTCCCTGCAGCATTGGCCAGGCTCATCAAATGTGAGGATAGCTGCAGCACGCAGGACCTAGCTTTGTGCAGGCATTAATATTCGAAGTGTTGGCCCTGCTTGAATTTTAGGATCTGATTACAGGCAGTGTTTAGATGGCTCCAATTAGCAACTCATGATGTGCTCAATTCATCATCTATATACCTTCAAATGTTACTAGAGTAGTCAGAGTACCTACCTTGCCAACCCGCAGATTCAAATTAGACAGTTTCAGGGTACTTGTCTCCTCCTCCTGCTTCATCGTGTTTGCATCTTTCCCAGCCGGTCCGCCAGCCTTCATTGATCCCTCGTCGCCAGCGGTACCAATACTCTCTGTCTTTCTTGGATGATCCCACTTGAAATTGCCTTGCTTGATCTCAAGATAGGAGTTGGGGTCCTTCAAGTCTGAATATTTCAGAAGTCAAAATTAGAGCACATCATTCATATAACCTACAGATCTCAGAATAGATATACTACATGCAGATATCCAATGTGTGGTCAAATGATACAAATGTTTTCAAATTAGGGCCCAAAAAATAGTTCTGCCTCCTTCAAATTACATGGCATTTGAAAATAGGGTAGGTAGGTAGGATTTTTTTTGGCCACTTTTTTTTGGTACGATCGTATGGAGGCGTCTGCGTGTAGTCAGGGGCAAAAGGTAGAAATTGATGGTTTAATTTTAGTGTGTTTTTTTCTCATTTTTCCAATAAAAAATAGGGTAGGGGCTGTTAGAATAAGGTAGAGAAACCGGAAGCAGAAGTTTTTTTTGGGCCTTACCTTGCGTGTAGTAGGACGATGGGTCCAGCTCCTGCAGCTCAAGGAATTCCTGCAGTCTTTTTAGCGAAACCCAGGCCTGGATAACACCATTGATATTCCATGGAAAGCTGTTAAGGGGACCGATCAGCATGTTGAAAAGCGTCAAGCTGGTGAAAATCTACATTGGGAGAAAAAAAATTACAATTAATTATATGCCTTTATTTTTTATGTTTGATGTACTAATGTGTAATTGGGGATAAGGACTTCACTGTTTTTAATTCCACCATACCACAAGAGAGAATTTACAGGGGGCTGTTTGGGATGGCCAGCCCACCTTTCATCTGTCATACGTGTTGACACATAAGCCACCATTCTCTCTTGACATTCTTGAACAAGAAGAGCTCAGCAAATAAACCCCCTTGGAAAATCCTGCATTTCTGCTGAACCACCCACAAACCCGGAGCAAACTCATTTGAGACAATATTTCTTGCCCAGGAAGGATTGATATTGGTTCTGTATCAGTAGGCTGGTTGTGTACGGCTTTACTTAAAGATTTCGAAACAAATTAAATAAGACATGACCAGAGTGAGCCACATACACTATGAAATAACTGTCCCAAATCTCTTTGCTTGGAATGATGTCTGAAATTCAAAATAATTATGGTCTGTGTCTGTTGGATCATCAGGCCTATGAATGATGACATTGTAAATTTCAGACATTTTCTCAAAAATAATAAGATTTCAGACATTTTCTCCAAAATCCCTTTGTTTTGGAATGCTGTCTGAAATTCAAATATGGCCTGTAAGATTTCAGGACTATGAATGATGACACTGAGCAAATTTCAGACATTTTCTCCAAAATAATAAGATTACAAACATTTTTTCCAAAATCGTTTTGTTTGGAATACTGTCTGAAATTCAAAATATGGTCTGTAGGATCATCAGGCCTATGAATGATGACACTGTGTAAATTTCAGACACATTTTCTCCAAAATCTTTGTTTGGAATGCTGTCTGAAATTCAAAATATGGTCTGTAAGATTTCAGGCCTATGAATGATGACACTGTGTAAATTTCAGACATTTTCTCCAAAATAATAAGATTTCAGACATTTTGGTGTTCATAAAGTGATACCTTGGCAGCTGTTAGCTCGTTTCCTAGGAGCGAGTAGGCAGCAAAGGTGAACACGGCCATCAGGATAGGTGTGCTGCCCCAGAGGTATGTGCACACGGCTGCCAGGTATTTTAATCGCAACAGCCTGCCCAGTTCCAAGCGTCGTAGTTCTTTGATTCTGTGCATGAAGTGCTTCTCCCAGGCATAGAACTTGATGACGCGTATCCCATGAAGAATCTCGCTCATTACCTGATCAGTCATTAGAGAAGATGATTATTTTTCAAGTGCAAACTTAATGAAGTGGGGGGGGGAGGGTTTTGAGATACGTGCCTCAATCTCAGACGATCGAGAGCAATCTCTTATGTACTGAATGATATTAAATTAAATGGTGAATTTTGATGTAGCACTGGTTGGACTCGAACCCACAACCTACTGCTAAATACAGTGCTGATATCTGAACTTGGAATTGACACCACGTTTGGTGGCCTGAGGTCATCATCAGCTGGATGGTGTAAAATGGCATTGATGAAGGGCCAAACCTTATCTCCAAACATCTCCCCAACACAGATTCCCTCAGATTGACTAACCTTTATCCTGCTGTCTTTGTGTTTCATCATTTCACCATAGTATCTGTACATTCTGGTGGACAACCACTTGGTGATTGCAGTCAACAGGACGGTAAAGACAACTCCTGTAGGAGAACATAAGGCACATCTCACAATTGTATAGACTCTAGCTGTCCAATATATAGCCTGATGTGAGCATTGTTGGGGGAATGATTATGAGCGAAATAAGTTCGTGTTTTAAGAGAAAGATTCATTTGTTTGTTTTGGAGCTACACTTTATTCTGTACTGTTTTCAAAGAATCTTAACTTTTGATGGAGATTAATGGATTTGATCCTGTGACCCTTGTCAACCCCCCCCCCCCAAAAAAAAAAAAAAAAAAATTGGGAGAATTAGAAGGTATGGCTTAACTTCAATAGAAGTTTAAACTTAAATCAAAGTTAGGATAAGAATTGAGATGAACACTGACCTGTAAGAAATGCCAGCCCAAGCTGCTGATACAAAAGAATCAATGATACGGTGATCTGGAACGGAAGGCTCCACAACTCATGAAAGCTCCAGCAGAAGCCCATAATCCTCCAGGTGTCAACGCTCATGAAGTTCACAATCTCCCCCGTTGTGAACCTGGATGCTGCTGTTAAGCTTACCACGAGGGCCTTGTTGTATATGGAGGTCACCAGGGCTGCCCGCATGCGAGTGATGATCTTGAAGATCCAGTAGATATATCGGCTGAATATAAATGTGCTAATTAAGGAGGTGAGGCAGAGGCCAAAAGCATACAGCCAACCATTCAGGATGGGTTCATTGCTGTTCTCCATGAAGGAGAGCAAAGCGTTGAGAAGAAGAGGCCCAGAAAAGGACAACGAGTCCCCGACGAGTTTAACAATCCCAAGAGAGAAGTAGCGGACCCCAAAAGCTCTAAGAAGTGCCCTCAGGAGGGTAGGTCTTCCAGAAGGCTTTGAGTCATTCTTGCCACTGTAGATATGCAGCTGCTTTTCAGAAATGAGAGGGGGTCTAGGCTTCTGGCAATCGGTCGATTGATATGACCCACTGCTTTCAGTGACTTCCTGAGCCTCATGATCATTCCCATGCAAGATCCTATCAAAGAAGCGTTCAACACTGAGAGTCTGTAGAGACTTGGGTAGACTGAACACATCATCTGGGTTTCTCAGCTTTCCCTGTGCTCCCCGTCTCATCAAGGGCTGAATCCACCACAAGAAGAGCTGTGACAGGAAGCCAGCCTGTTCCTCAGCAACGCCAAGATCCGAGATGAGACAGCTCTCGTCTTCATCACATGACCTGCTCTTGTTTCCCAGCAGTGGTGAGGTCTCATCCATAACATCATCGTTGATGCTCGGAAAGATAAGTCTTCTTTGACTTCTCTCATAGTTCTTCCTAACACATCTCGGAGATGGCAAAAGTGACACCAGGTACAACAGTTGCAAGGCAAATTGTACGAATGTCAAAATTCTGGTGATCTCATCTAACTCTACCCTCTCTTCGTGTGCAAGATTACGAATAACTCGGGCCACCTTTACTACTGTTGACAACAAAGTTAGAGACCAACTCAACAAGACTGGTGCATGACCTCTTACGTGTTCTATCCCTTTTCCCCGAAGCTTCAGTAGGTATAGAGCATGTAGTAACCATCCAAAGAAAGCACAACTATCTATCAGATATTGTACCGGCGGAAGGCTTTCTGTTGCATGGGTTAAGCTCAGAATTACCCCAAGAACTGGCAAAAAGCTGGTGACGAAAGACACAAAAAGCCTTGCGCGAACAGCACGAGATCTCTTCAAGTTTTCATTTTCAGTGTGCTGGATGTAGCCAATATAGATGCCACTAGCCAGGGCAAGCAAAGCATAACTGGTGAGATCAAAGACCAGAGTCTCTTTGCAATAACCATAAGTTTTGTCAGGCCAGAAGAGCGAGTTATTATTAGGAGGTCCACAAAAGTCCTGCAGTAGAACACCTTCTTTGGAAGCCATGATCATGTTTGTGTTGAACTAACCGAATCTTGAGCAGTCCTACAGATAACAAAAATAGAAACGATTTTTTTAAAAAAGTTTCTTAATGTTGCTTTCCCTGTGTAATTTTCAAATTTTACCTCAAAACAAAATTTTATGTAATTGCTACTTTTGTTTATTTAACCAACAATTCACTTTGAATGAAACATCAAACGATAAAAAGCGCCCATCTACATTTATGAGAATAATTACTTGATGCATTTCGAAAAAATAAGTCCCCTTCTGCTTCTTTTTTCCCCCCGGCCGCTGCTCTTTTTTTTAATTCATACATTCGCAATATATTTGGCACATTATTATACTGTCAAGATAATTGTCCTTTTATGTGTTTTCCAACAAAAATGTAGAAAAGCTTGGCTCCTTTGAACACAGCTTTGTATCAGCAAAATAGTCGAAAACATTTAAGAATCCATCCCATCCATGGAAAATCCGCCATTTTTTGAGGAAAAAAACACGCCCGCCTCCTTTTAAAAAAAAAGAAGGCCGGACGAGTAACAACTTTTTACGGCATTATTTGAGCTTCGACAACAATTCAGGCGGACATGTTTTTGCGTTCGAAGCGCAAAGGCAATCCAAAATAAAAACTTTTTCAGGGGTGCAGACGCGCGTACCCCACAATAGAAAAACGGTAAATATACATTTTTGTTAAAATAAAACATCCAGTAAAATTACACATTTTGTTTGGGGAAAACTTGGATTTGTTGAAGAGCAGGGAAGAAGAAATTGATTAGCCGTTCCTTCCAGCTGGTGTAAAAGTCAAAGCACTTTATTATACAAGGTATACAACAAAACAGGTATTTTTAAAAAGCAGTATGCATATAGTATTTTATCTTTGCTGTGAATCATTCAACGTATGGCGGGCACCTAAAGCCGTTATGAAATGCATGCCACAGGTTAAAAATACTATTCTTCCCCCTATCCTAATGTCAGTCCGCCCGCGGAAATTATGAATAATTTCAATGCACAACTTGACTTTTATAAATTTCCTAAAACGTCTCAACATTTCCCAAACTATCAGAACTTCTTATCTAGAGTCCCCCAAATGTTCCATATTTCATCATTTCTCCAAATTATCAAAATTTCAGGGCTCCAAAAAATTCAACTTTTGCCTAATTCCCCCAACGTATCATGCCCTATTCTGGACTTGTCTACCGCAGCAGAATTGAATTTTAAGCCTAATCCCGATCCATGCCCATACTCCGAAGGTTTGCCACGGAAGCGTGCACTTCGGCTCCATACAAAATATTTTAACATTTTCTTGTCATTTGAAGCATTTGAACCATTATCAGAGATCTATCCGCAGGAATTTGCTCAATACTATCAAATAAAGTGTTGATAAACATTCTTTCGTCCGCAAAACAGATATTCTTCACACACAGTTTATAACACACGTACGAAAGCTAGGTTTAAAAAACGTTTGTAAAAGGGGGGAGGTTATATAGTGCGAAATAAATCAATCGTTTTGCGAAATAATGCGATACATTTACTTTTGTGAGAAAACTTTACCCTTCATAAAATAAATGCATTAAAAGTGCCCTTTCGGTTTAAAATTTCCTAGAAGTACCTATCATTCATTGCGTTCCTGTCTCTTGCGCATAGGTTATTTTGACATGGTTTTCATTGAACGGGGGATCGAGGTGCTGGACAGAAGGTGAGACAATCATTAGCTCTGTTCAAACAAAGATTGAAGCATTCACACCTAGGTTATTGTCGGTACGAGCAGAACAATACAACTGGCAATACAGTACATTTAAAACTAGACACTGCAGGAACAAGAAAAATGGTTAAGTAAAACGATTACAAAAGAGTGTAAATTATGAAGATTTAGACTTAAACATACAAGATTTAATAATGAAACGCTTTTTTTCGTGTTGGTTTCTCCCTGGTGTTGAAGATGGCATCAGAGGTTAACATGGCTATTTTGGACATGATGTATTAAAAATGAGCTGCACTTTTGGCTGATGTTGACAGCTTTTAATAAATCACCAATGCACTTTTTATTGTCTTTTACAATTCACGGGAGCCTACTTCAAAGTAGATGAGTTTGATTCGTGCAAAGGGTAGTTGATCCTGAACCTATTAAGGGAAATAGGCAGACATCTGGGAATGCCTAATATGCCATCATCACCCGGAGCTGAGGAAGGGCTTTCCACTGAAGAATTGTCTTGATGTCATGATGTGCTTTGGAAGAACTGGGTCCGTGCAAAAATTTGAAAAAGTGTCTACCGGAACGAACATGCAGGTACAAGTTGAGTTTGGTGACGTCAACATGATTATGCTACTGAGTACGATGTCTATATCTTGTCTATTTTTTAAAATCTGATCTTCAGAAAACATTGAAAGTTAGAGGAAATTTACATGGAAATACGGTTTAGGGAATGTAAATCATAAAATCTATCAACACAACGTCCACTTGGCGTTTTTGCGGGGAGGGGGGTTAACGAATTTGTAAGGGATAGCTATCTATAAGCTGGTATGAAATCATGTATATTCCCTCTGTTTTAAAACACAAAAGACAAAATATGGGCATAAAGTTTGAACGCTCGCTGACAGAAGGGATCTTGAATTATGATCACAGCAGTTTAATAAAGTAGAAGAACAAACATTTTCTTTGATAATAGAACGTGAATAATCACTTCTGAATAACAATTGCATCTCACAGTGCATTGTAAATGTGCAGGGCAGTTGTATTGATTCGTGTTTTGGTACAATTAGACGTCTACCATGAAAAAACACAACTTTTTTCCAACAAGTAATAAATAACATGGGAAACATTTCCAACTTGTATTTCGCCGCCAATTTTAACCACCCCACTAAATGAAAATGTTCGCCAGTTCCCCGTCAGATTCAGTTTTGTTCGGATATAAAATGGTGCTTTTACATCAACAAAACTCTTCCAACCCTATTTTCATCTGAATTAGGTTAAAAAAACTGCTATGCTGAATAAGTGTTAAATGAACCTTTGACCGCAATTTATTAAGTTTGGCCAAAAACCACAAATCTGCACTTTTTATTTCAAAAAGACAAGAGTCTACGTACCTCGTTTGATACGATAAGACAAAGTACTGCGGAGAATATATATAGATTGTAGGCCTATAATTATTTCTGAATATGGCGCATACTAATTTGCATACTATGCATTAGTCTATCATTTGAGAAATGGCTTTAATGAATTCGTTGATCCTAAATATATGAGTTTACGTACCTCGTTTCAAACTATAACTGAACAAATTCCTGCGGATATTTTTTTATATTTGAAAATGGCGCGTGCTAATTTGCACATTATGCATAAAATATACGCATTGCATTGTAGAAATGGCTTTAATGAATTCGTTGACCCAAAGGCCATGGATTTAAACATAAAATATAAGATCATCTTTGCATAAGCGGCTTTAAGAATTCGTTGACCCCCAAAACATGGTCTAGAAACTTCGACTGATAATTTCGGACGAGATTCTGCAGAGATTAGAAATTGATGTTAAAGAATGCTCAAGGGTGCCAGGGATGGCACCTGTCGGAATATCGATCTCACAATGTTCAAATGACAAGAAAATGCAACCACATATTGTCCAGACCCTAATGCACGGTTCACCTCCAAATTGGGGTTTGACACCTGGGCTACCATCAAAATTATCGAAGTCACAATTTTCGAAGTCACACGCAAATTATCCTTCCCACAGAGCCAATTCCACGCCTGTGAAAATCCCGATAACACTATGCCTGCCGTCAGGCCCTGAGCCTTGTATTGTTGATGTACCCTAACGTGGCGCGGCCCCTAACTTGGCGCACTTTGATTTTTCGCCTGTAGCGCCTAGCTAGAGCAAAAGTTTAACTGAAATTTCACAGAAAGTGAAATTGCATCAAGTTCTTAACACCCCGTTCATAAATCACGAGTTTATCTACCCGGTACAAAGTTAGAAGAAAAATGTATTTCGGCGTGATCATCCGATTTTATTTCGAAGTGCACAGTGAACCCTTTTAAAATGCCCAAAAAAATTAGAAACTAATTTTCTGACAAACTTCAAGTTGGGTATGAAAGTAGACATAATAATGGTTTATCAGAGTTTATCACATTTACAGAAATTCTTAAATGTTAATTTGGAATTTTCCGAGATTTATTCAGGTGCGCCAAGTTCGGGAACACTCAGCCGATTTGTTCCCAAGTTCCGGACGCCACCGTTCTTTAATTTCGGATTAAATTACATGACACCGAAATTATTCACAGAGGTTAAATAGCAAGCATTGATAGTAGGGAAAAAGTACCAGTATTTCACCGAATGAATTTGAGGTTTGTCAACAAAGAATTTTGGCAACACTGATATGGAAAGTCGGGGTAAACGTCGAAGTGCGCCACGTTAGGGAACACCACTATATCAGGTGTGGTGTCTTAGGAATGAGAACCGTGCTAATAGTACATGTTCGCAGGCTTTTTTTAATGCTAATCAAGCAACACGTCTACAGTCAAACTTAAGAAGGTCAAAGTTTCGCCAAAAAACCACATATTTTCTCTCTATTTTTTTTGCAAATAAACCAACAAGATTGAAAGTGAACAGCTAGTGACCCTTGTCGAACTTTGGGCAAGGGTCGTTCAACCCACTCCTCAAGCCATGCATGCCAATGGTGCAACCAAAATCAGTGCCTCTCAACAATGGGGGAAGTGATCCTCCAAGCTGTCATCAACCAGCAACTGTTTACTCACACCTGTAAAACTACATGGCCTACCTTAACAATGTCCCAGCAAGTCCCCGGCTCACCAAAGCTGTAGGCTTGGAGACCTCTCGAAGTCAGCCTCAGGAATGCATCTTTCTTCCTTGCTCCATGGGTATTTATAGCTGTCAGGCCCCGCCGGCATCAGCAAACGGTATGAATAAACACCATCCCTCGGACATCTTGGTTACCAAGCGCCAACGTTTGCGATTACGTAATTTCTATCTGAGTGCGGTGAGTCACACTTGAACAATTGGATCGATTTCTGACCAGCTCTTTGAATGCAATGGATCACCGGTGTCCGCCGTTACATTCATGATGTCCAGGGGCCTCTCCTATAATCTCTACTCAATGCCGGTACCGTTATGTTTTTTTTTTCTTCAGCCAATTAGAGGCTATTCGAAACTTTTTCACGAGTTGTTGGCTGCTCGGCGCCTCTTAATGTTGTAGCAACGGCGACGCAATTGAGGATCTGATTCTTCTTTTTCGAACCCAAAAGTCATAAAGATTCCCGACCAAAAATAAACTGTAATGGAAGATCTCGGCCTATAACTTGTTTGTCTTTTTCTCTCTCTAAATGCACTAGCTGCAATGTCGCTTAGCCGTTGCTCACTTGCTGTTCATACTCCACCTATGAATATAAGCTATAGGCTACATCGACGTATGTTGTGTCGTAACTTAAGGCATCCCTTTTTTATTCTTTGGTCTTACTGCCGACCGATCCTGTTTTTGGCTCTTGACCTAAGGAAAACAAATCTTTTTATTACCGCCGACCCTGTCTGGAATCCCCAACTAAGAAGTAGGCAATGCGGGCTCTGTTTTATTTGAAAAGCTGTGAAAAATAATATCCGATATAAATGGGAGCATGCACGGCATAATTAAAGCAACCTAAGCAATTCCAGAAGATGCAAAGGGTGTTGCCTCTCATCATATATCAGGAATCTATTCATAATAATCTTCACTGTACTAAACAAAACGAGACAATACTCACTTGGCATCATTTAATTTAGCCATCTTTACCTGTGAAACTGCATTTTTGTAATTCAGACATTTTTTTGCCGACCAACCAACCCTACTTCAAGGGCACAAAAAAACCGATATGAGAACCCAGTAGAAAAAACACGGGACGCCCTTTAATAGTGGCTACCGTCTCGTGGGTATGCCCATGTGTCCTTTCTCTGTGTACGCCCATACACTCCAGGCCAATATCCCCACCCCTCTTTTGCAACCGCTCAGAAGTTTTGAAATTAGAAAAAAAGCTTCATATTATGGTCAAACCAATTGATGCCCCCACCCCCTTAAATAAGCACTGTAAAGTGCACTGCATTTTGTGCTACTACATCAGTGCCCGGTGTCGTCCCCCTCTCCCTTCCCATACCGTACGGTCATGGCCAGGCGTTCGCCTAGCAACAGGATCACGCAACAGCAAAAACATTGCGATAGATATCGCAGGGCTTTAGGATGGTGATTTTCATTGTCGATTTGGGCAAGTGCCCCCTCCCCCGGCCCCCGGTTCCGCCGCCCCTTCCGATGGCGAGTTGCGCAGTGTGATCCAATGACCTCACCAGACCATCACCAGACTGACCATTACGTCAGGCTACCTTTTAGGAAATTACATCATGGCCACCAATGGCAAATAATGACCTCACCGAACTGACCATTAGGTCATTCTAACTGTAGGGATATTGTGTCAGAAATCCTTTATTTGTACTGCGTACAATCATTATGGACCGATTAATAGTTTTGTTTGTTTATCCCCCCCCCCTCTCCTCCAAGTACTCGTCTTGTTGTGTTTACCATTCATCGTGCCAAAATGGCCTTGCTGAACTGGGACCGTAGTAAGCTGGCTACCTTGTATGAGCGGAATCAATATTTAGAGGCCTCCTTATGGATTGATCAATGCGTTGCTTTTGTCCAATCGCTGCCACGGTGCAAGTAAATTCTTTTCAAATTGAGCGAGTAAACACTGGTCCCTTGTCCAGGTAATTCCTCATTCAAATAAACGTCTACAGCGCACGTGCGTCGCTCATGCATGGCCCAAGGACAGCATGAACTCCACAAACTGACCATTACGTCATTGAACCTTTTTGGGGAATTACCTAATGCCGTATCCTCTGCTTGGTAACGATGTTGTTTATTGTTTATCCTGCTCGATGGTCCAAGCTTGCGCTTCACAACAGCGGCTTGTGTTGCATTGGATGCTAATCATATATAATTTCCAAAATGCAATCTATCCATTTGGGAAACTGTATATTTATATGATCCTTTTTCCACTTGATTTTCAACCTTTTAAACAACACTGACATGCTTATTGTCGCTCTATAATCTCAGTTCAAGCCGTGCTGGGAAAAAAATTGTCATAATAACCCCTGATAGAAAGCCCTCAACACATTCCACTCACACGACGAGCCCAACCTCGTCCCAATGACGACGAGCAGTACGCTCCCGCTACTGGCTGCTCTCTCACCCTGATACTGGATCATTGGGATGATCAAAAACCTTGCAGTTATAATAGACCTTTCTCAGGGTGCGTACGCCATCTTGAAAATCAAAGCAAGGCAAATAACGATTAACAAACATGAAGGCGTAATTAGTGTGTGCGCGTGCGGTGAACTTATTGTGACTCTCGCAAATTTACAGCAGATTGACAATCTTATAAATGGAAGCTCAAATTCCCCTGCAACATCAATTGAGCTAAAACCATGGCTAGAAGTGAATTTCTCTACAACATCAGTCATTGGTTTTTTTTCCAAGATGGTCCAAATAGAAGGTTCTTTTAGGGATATGTTTTAACGAACCTTCATCGATACTCTCTAAATTCTAAAGAGTGAAAATTCACTCTATTCGAGAGAAGATTCACTCCCACATTTGGAAACTAGGGACTAGACGTTTTAGAGTGAAATTTCTTCAATCGTAAAGATCGAGGTTTCACTCGAGCTTCGACTGAAGTGGTTCATTTTTCATTTCATGTAAATCGAAAATGGGAGTGATATTCACTCTAAAACGTCTAGTCCCTAATTTCACTCTTTGGAATTTAGAGAGTAAACAATAATAAGCCCACCGTCACGTAAGTCGTGGGAGTAACTCACGTACGTCATGGGAGACTCATCCTTAAGATACCTTTATTCCTACACCTATTGGTACCCCCCCCCCCCAGCTCTGTCTAAAAATTAAATTCTATAGCAATTCATGAAAAAATGCGAAACTCCCCCTGCCCCCACACCCAACATTTTTACTGGTAATAATGTCCGCCTTGGCACAAAATACGTACAGATCCTGATTGGTTAGGGGGTATATGTACACAATTCTGTGATATAGTGGTAATAATCGTCGAATTTGAACAGTGCCCTCATTGAAAGTATGGTACGAGCCCCCCCCCCCCCCCCCCCCCCACGTAGTGATTGTCGGAGACCAAGTGTCCTGAGAAAAAAACCTGTCTACATTTCAGATTTTTTGGCCGATGAACCCCCTCCCCCCCCCCCCCTGCGAAAATTCCTGGATCCGCCCCTGGTGTTCATTTAGAAATAGAGAAACACGCTAGTAATTTGTCCATGCAAGACTAGGCCTGTGAATTGATTTCTCATTCCTCAAAGATGATGGTCATATTTGTTGATACAGCTAGGCCTACCACAACGGATTACCAGTGGCATATTCAGCGATGAGCTAGGGGCGGGGGATGGAACTCCCCCCCCCCCCCCCCCCGGCGACATTTTGCCTTGTTTTAAGGAAACGACGCGGCGTCAGCACCTCACAGCCGGTACCGTAGTAATAACCTCCCATGGGCGTCACTAGAGGGGGTGTTACACCCCTATTAAAAGTTTTCGTCGGAAAAATCGTCCTCCTGTCAACGCCAAGTTCGGGCAAGGACCATTAGTCGACTAGTGGTTAATTTGTGACGTACCTTACGCCTGCGCCCTAATAGCAGCGTGCAAACGTCTCTCGTCAAACGCTGGTCAAAATGTCATCGCAAAACTTCTGGATCCTGGCTCTCTGCTAGCGTTATGAATGCGCGCAGCTATTGGTTACCAGCGAAACAACCAACCCCAGTAGGCTGGTTCCAAAAAGTCGACTAGCGTAGTCAACCACCGTCGACTAGACAGAGTTCGGGCAAACGTTAGTTAACCATTGGTCAACTACAGTCCTTGCGCGGACTTGGCCATGATCGTGCGTCAGTCTGCAAATATGCCGCCATAGAATAGCGCCACCTATTGTGCGATGGTGTCACAAATCGTCCCATTTGAGCACTACTAGCGGTGCCCCACGGTTACCGTTTGTAAGATGGGCCGGTTCCGGCTACGGAAAACAAATAATCGTGGACGTGTGACCGGGAAAAAAGTTACTGTTACCTTCCAGCCCAGATTGTCTGTCGCAAAAATGAGGCCCATTTTTTAAGACACAAAAAGAAACTAACCATTTGCCCCTCCCCCTCCTCGTTACATATGATCCTGGATTCACTGCTGGTAAACACGGACCGACGACTGTCAGTTTCATTGACGGTGTTTGCTAGTTTTCGAAAAGCGAACTTTTCTGATAAATTAACGTATGTCGGTGAAGGGCAATCCAACTCTTACATTTGGCTCGATAATTTTGATAACCTGATATATGACGGGTGAGGGGGACATCCATACATATTTTGATGTTTATTTCCACTATTACGATTTCTTGGAGATTGGGAGACGCACAGCGATCAGTAAAACAAATTAATTTAGATCGCCATATCCATTTAAATCTTTTTCCAGTCATAATTATAGAAACTGTTATGGTGTTCACCTGTCAGCGTTTTTAATTTCCTGAAATGGGTTTTTGGGATGAAAAACAAATATCGTTGAAAACATCTTGTTTGCGCACATGAATGTCTCGATGGACTAACTTGGAAATTAATTATTCCTCTGTTGCCGGTGGCGCCCCATGAGTACCATGTTGGTATATTTTGGCTTCCTGTTATCGCTGCGAGTGTACGTGCTTATATCCTACCAAACAGTTTTCTTGTTAAAGGGAAGATACAACATTTGCAAACATCAAAAAACAAAATGATCAAATTATCACGAAATATCTCACTGATTGTTGGGGAATGACAGTCTAAAGTATCCTGTAAAATCGTGGTTCCTGGTGTGCTGACATTTTCAAGAAAACTTGTATTTTTCCAACGCTGGTCGGCCGACCAGCGTTGAAGAAAACTGGCTTTTT